TATTTTATGACAAAAAAATAGCTGTGGCTTAAAAATTACTAAGTAAAAGAGATTTCTTTTTTTCACAGGTTATGATGACAGAAGGGATTTTTTAAATAACAGAAATATCATTGGAATCTTCAAAGTAATTGTTAAATTTGATTTGTTTTTTGGACAAGCACTTGAAAAAGTCAAAATGAATTGTCAAATGTTATCTAAAATTTTTAAAGAATCAATCTAAATAATGGGAAAGCATGTACAAAATGGTAAATCAGTAAGCCAGATATTAAATACCATCCACAGTTATACAAATAAATAATTGTAATTTCATATGTAGTTGTTAAATAATAATACAGGGATACCTTGTGAACCATTCATGCAGTGGGATATGATACTTAAGCTGTAATTCAGACCTTTTAGATAAAACAAGTAGGAAACTACAGACTCAATTTGGAAATATATTAGAGCTATGTCATTTGTTGCTTTCTATTTATTTAATAAGGGATTGATAGAACATTCAGATAAAATAGTAACGGAAAAGGAAAAAATCGATGAAGATGAAAAGTGAAATCAAAGGCCATTGTTCTGACACTGAGAAGTGACTTGCAATAAAATTTTTAGATCATACAAAAAAAGTATTTCTTTAGGAGGAAGAAATAACACAATTAATAAAGAGGAATGAATTATATTAACACATTGGAAAATTTAAGTTGTGTGTTGGATTTGACAGAAAATACTGATATAGATGAAGAAAACATAAAATATATAAATTCTGCTTTAATAAAGACATCAGTCGCTGCCCAGGAAAACTCAAAATGCCCTGAAATCTCATGCTTTAAATGAGATTAAACTTAAAATGCCCTGAAAGCAACTTGATTAAGGGTTTCCTCAAACTGAAAATAATCTAGCAGTATGCATGATATTAGCAATAATTATTTCAAGAGCAAAGAGAACATGTCTAAACTAGTTGAAATAAAAAACACATTTCCATCAGACAGGATAAAAAACTTAATCATCTTTCTATTCTCTCTGTAGGGTATAATACTACAAAATCATTGTCATATGAAGAAGCAAAGAATAGGCAGCCAAGAAATGTAGAAAGAAAAATGTATTATAGAGTTGGGGCAGGGAGTTATTTAATTTTTAAAGTATGATATATTTTTACGCATTTTCTGATTTTTATGGCATGTATAAGCTTTTAAAATTTTTTAATTTATTATTTTAAGTACATATTTCTCATTTTAAGTAAATATTCACTTTTGTATCTAATGTTTCAAAAGAGCCAGCACCCGCTCTCCAAAATTTATAACTTTCAGGCCTCACAAAACATGAATCCATCCAATCCCATGAACCAAGAACAATGCTCTAAGCGTGAAGTAGCGCTTCTTACAAGTTGTCAAATAAATGAATGTCATGATAAAAATAGTCAAAATAGATGGGATACCAAACTAATCACAAAACTTATAAACTTACAATTTATTTTGAAAATATAAAATATATTAAAAATAGAGAATACAAGGATATCCATTATCCAAATTTAACGATGATTAAGACTCTCCTATATTTGTTTACTTTCACTCTTTTCCTCTTTTTTCTGTAATATTTTAAGGCAAATCTCAGTTATCCATGTCATTTCATCCCTTCATACCTCAACTTGTGACTAACAAATGTGGACCTTTTCCTTCATGGTTCTGTATATAGCAGACATCTGGACTGTGTCTCACATGGTACATAGAAAGAATGAATCAGCCCAGCATATTTGCATTTAGATTAGTATATTAGAACATTTTTCAAATATTGCACATTGTCATTTATAAAATATATTATACATAATATAGTTTATATTTTAAAAGGTAGGCTTTTCAAATCTATGGAATATTTGCCTTATTAAATCTTATTGGATAGTTCCACCTTGTTAGTGATTTGAACCATAAAGATATGCTGATTTTTAAAATTTAACTGCACTGTTAGTGTCAGTGATCTATTCTAGTTTTATTATCCTTCCTCTGGTTATACTGTTGTGTTAGTGTGATCCTTACGGCATGCTGTACATATGTTACCATGGCACAGAGGCATTTTTGAACACCGGCTATTTCAAATTTCTCAGTGTAAAGGTCAGTTAGTAGCATTTTACTTTGTTGATAGATTTGAGGATAGCTGCTGCTGTTTACCGAGACATTATTATCCATTTAGCTGAGGCCATCTATGTGAATTAGCATGTGTGAAATCTTCATTGTTAATCTAGCCTTGTAATGACTGATTTCTATACCACTCCAGTCTAATTTGCAGGTGACTAAAAGTCAACTTTAAGTAAAAAATAGAGTGCGAATGGGTGGGTGGATGATGTACGGTATCACACAGCTGAAAAGTCTAGGGTTTAATTCCAGAAACAATTGGATTTAGATGCACAAATGGTGATATCAGGACTCTATGCTGCTTAGGCCTCCTGGGGTGAGCTTGATTTTAGTCTTAAGCAAACTCTCTTCACCCATAGGCAAAGTTGAAGTATGCATGTCTAGCGAAGAGAGGGTTGGTACCCATAAGATCAGCAGTTTCACTCAAAAAAAGGTGGTGGGCTGGCAAAGTAGAAGATACCACAAAAGGGCCCATAGTTGGTGTTGGACACAGTTATCAAAATTTGTGGAAAATGTCTTTATTTACATTCATCTTCTTTTACATCTTTCTCTTTCTACTTTTGTAATCCACTTTGATTCTGTAACCCAACATTCTCGCTCTTTCTGCTAACTCCCATGACCCCTTACTCTCAAACCTCCCAGTGGTATGTGGATGGACTCTGTTTAACTTCTCCTCTAGCAATTTACCCAGTGTCTGAGGCTAAATCAGTAAGTTAAATTTGTCAAGCCTTAATTAAATCATTTATAATGTGGATAATATATTGTATTAGTCAGGGTTCTCCCAAGAAACAGAACCAAGAAAAGACACACACACACACACACACACACACACACACACACACACACACACAAAACAGTTCCACAGTCTGCTGTCAACAAGCTAGATATCCAGGAAAAGCCAGTGGTGTAGTTCGGTCTGAGTTTGCAGGCGTGAGAATAAAGGGAGCTGATGGTTAAAGTCTCAGTATGTCCCAGCTCAAGCGGTCATGTGGAAAGGGTAGTTCTCCCTTCCTCTGCCTTTTGTTCTGTTCAGGGCCTCAATGGATTGGTTGCTGCCCACCCACACTGGGGAGTGCAAACTGCTTTACTTGACTCCACTGATTCAAATGCTGAACTCATCTGGAAACATCCTCAGAGACACACCTAGAAATAATGTTTAGCTTACTATCTGGGTGCCATGTGATCCCATCAAGTTGACACATAAAATTAACCATAAAATATAGCAATATAATTTATTATCATTATCATTGATAAATTTTAAATATTGCATAATATATATGAATGTATTAATACAAGTTCTGCTGTGGTTTGTTAATTTTAGCACACTACATGAGTCTAAAACACTACTAAATCTCCTCTGATCCATTTAAAACACATCTTTCATTAGATTTGCTCAAGCCATGCTGACATAGTATCTGAAAAACAAATTGGTAGTTGGATGATAAATTATGATACTGGTTTAATGTGTCTCTTCCCAAAGATACTCCTATTTTTAAAGTTGGTGCCAAGAAATATAGCGCCTTAGAAATTCATTCCTACTGATACTGTAATAATATCCTCCTAGTTATCATTCAATAGACATAGCATAGAAGAGAGTTAAGATCATAGGTTCCGGAGCCAGACTTCAGGGGTTCCAATCCTGACTACTTCATTTGCTAGCTATGTGACATTAGGAAAGTTACTTAGCTGGTTCATTGTAAATGAAATTAATTATATATGTAATAAGGCTTAGTATAGTGTCTGACACGTAATAGGAACTTGATTAATAATTGCCGAGTGAATAGTACTCTATGGCACATGACCTTTACACAGTAACAAGTGTATAGTGATAATAAAGGTTTGTTGAGGAAAGAAATGATTGACATTGAGATAGATATTTATGGGCTGGAGCAAGAGTTTTGGAAATTGAAAATGGTTTATTGTTATGCTATACACTGCTTACTTATTACATCATATAGTTGGATTTCATTTACTTCTAGGTCACTTCTCCCAAATTAACTCTAGAATTAGCCCAGGAAGTCGTAAGGGGAAATATGTTTAATACGTGTAATCCCAAAATGAAAAATTTACTTAGTATAGAATGGCTTCATTTACATAAAGATATACATTTTTGCATTCTGACAACTGAATGTTTAAGGCCATCAATTGTTTATGTAGTAATTTTTAAATATTTTAAAATTTGGGGGTGTGTAATGATTTTTACATTAAAATATAAGCCACAGTTACTGATTTAATTGTTGTTGCTTTAAATTTGTCATGTCCTTTTACATAGTGTTGGAATGCAGAAGCACTACACTTAATGGATGATTAGGAACAAATCTGGCTCCCTTTTCCTAAATCAAAATCAGATGCCACTTTAAGACTGAGAGACAATTTATAAATTTATTTGAAAGCATGTTGTCTTATAATTAACACCTCTAATCTCAATAAATTTTATATAGTCCCTATTGGTCAAGTTAATCAGTTTTCATGTCTTTTTAAAGAATACTTGATGCAATTAGACTGACTAAGCTCTGAGGTCATACCTATTTCTAAAAATATATGATTCAATCATTATCTTGCAAAATTGATTACAGGTTAGTTTCTTTTGAATACGAATATTAAGAAGAAACAGTAATTGCTCAGGAATAGCTAAATTCAATAAAATTTTCTTCAGTGATGGAAAAATTCCATGTCAGCTATTGAGCACTTGAAATGTGACTAGTATGACTGAGGAAATGAATTTTTAATTTAATTTGAATTAATTTTGACTTAAAATAGCCACAGCTCTGGAGTTATCATCTCATAAATAAGACTTTTGAGAAACAGTTGAACTTAAAATAAAACATATAATGAGCAAGCTTGTGCAGTGAATTTAAAAGAAGCAATTTTGCCCTTTCTTTTCAGTCTCCTGCACATAGTTATTCAAGCTATGACTCTGGCAAAAATGAGAGCGTGGACCGAGGTGCTGAGGACCTATCACTAAACAGGGGAGATGAGGACGAAGATGACCACGATGACCATGACGATTCTGAGAAAGTTAACGAGACAGATGGTGTTGAAGCTGAGCGACTGAAAGCCTTTAATGTGAGTCCTGCCACACTCCCTGTGTGATTTAATTTTTACCACTTCACTTTCATGTTGTTGCTTGTTGGTAAATGTGGATATTTTAGAGACATGTTTGTTTAATTTACAGAAGGATTTTAAAAGTACATGAAACACTCTTTGCCAGCCAGACACCAGAATTGCTGTGTTTTGTTTAGAATTTTAAAGCCAAATGTGAGCTGAAAACTGGATTTGTGTTGTGTGAGTATGCATGTTTATCTAGTGGATGGAGGGGCCTCAGCTTAGTCCTTGGAAGAGTATGCCCATCATCAGTTTTATCTTTTGCTTTCCTAGCTTATCTAATTATGCATGACAAAAGAGTCGATCGTTCGTTTTCAGAGATTAATCTTCTGTGCAGTGTAGCAATGGAACAGTTGTATTTATCATTAATAGAAAATTTAATGGTATGCTCAATTGTCACAGTCTGCTGTTATTTCCTGATTTTTTTCAACACGAAAGTCTATTCTTTTCTGTCTCTATGTCTGTCTGTCTGCCTTTCTCTCTCTTTTTCTCTCTCTATTTTTTAACCCAACCATTTAGAAGTCTTTTAAAAAGTGTTTGCTTAAAATTTCTGGCTTTCCATTGCAAAGTTCTCCAGTGCATAAACCAGAAAAGAGTATATTCCTATCGGTAATCAAGACAGGAAGCTAGGACCAGAAGAGAGCAGCCCTCCAAACCCTTCTCCTCTGTCTCCCTCTTGCCAACAGATGTTTGTCAGGCTGTTTGTAGATGAAAACTTGGACCGAATGGTCCCAATCTCTAAGCAGCCCAAAGAAAAGATCCAGGCTATCATTGACTCATGCAGGCGACAATTCCCTGAGTATCAAGAGCGTGCCAGGAAACGTATACGTACTTACCTCAAGTCCTGCAGGCGGATGAAAAGAAGTGGTTTTGAGATGGTGAGTTTTGAATTAAAACACAGCCCTAGATTCCATCAAAATCCCACATGTAAACCATGACACTATTTTTTTTTTCATCTTAGTGTCTTTTTTTTTTCTTTTTTCCATACTGTCAGGTCAAAGGGCTTTTGTTTGCTTGTTTGTTTTTTTCCCTTTTCCTTTTCATCTTCCCGAAGTATTTATTCCCTTTCGTTTATTTAATAAGGAATACCCTGAGACCAGTGCTCACAGGACCACGTGGTGCCACACCACAGAAAATGAGGGCGATATGAGTAAAAACCAGTGAGAACCAGCATCTTGTTCATGTCTGTTTTCTCTCTGTCACTGCTAAAGTGGGTATGAGGTTAACCAAGTCTTGAACTGAAGCACTGGTTGTGGCGTTAGGTGGCTTGTGAGAATGGCTTTCTCTTAAATGAAAGCAAATAGATGGATCCATCTGAGGAATACCATTTTCATACTAATGATTAACACATAGGAAGCCTTGAAAAGAAAGATCAGGGAATGCAAATGCTCAGGTGAAATATAAGGCTTTGTCGTACTGGGTGTGTTTATTTGTGTGCTTGTAGATGGTTCCATGAGTTTTTATATTCAGCTTGGCTTTATAGATGGATGAGATTTTTTGGACATTAGATTACTTATGGGGTGGAAATTAGAAATCAATATTTTCTGAACTTTATGCTATTTCTTCTTGCTCTAATTGTTACAGATAGAAACAGGGCATACATTTACAGTGTATGTGCCTTTTCCATTTCTTTATTTTTCATGTATGTGAGCAGAAACATATTAGAAATTTTGTATTAGAAACTGTTTTTTTGTATGCTTCTCTAAGAAGGCTCCATAAAAGCCTTGACATTAGTGTTTGTGACTTGTACCTGTAATTGATTAGGTGTGCTAGGGTTTGAGTTGGTATAGATAAGAGAAGTTTCAGAGTGTGTCATATGTGAGAAATAATTTTTCGGATGTAAAATCCTGTAAGATTAATGACAGAAATAACAAATCTACTGCTATCAGTCTTTCTACATTGGCTTGTAAAAATATTTTTGATATTTTTAAGGGAAATTGGCTATTTTTTTAAGGGACGCAGTCTTCCCAGATGATCAGGAGCATGTGCTCAGTCCCCAAAGAGCCTGGTTTTGAGTTCTGGATCCACCACTTTCTGACTATGTGATTCAGCTGCCTGTGCTCAGGTTCTCTCTCTGGAGATGATAATAACCCCCAATTTATACAGCTGTGAGAATTATGTAAGTTTTCTCATGTAAACTTCTGCGAGTCATTTCCAGCATGTAGTAAGCACTCAACAAATCTTAACTCTAAAAATATTATCAAATATTATTTAATCCATTATCTGAAAATAATTTCCCCAAATATTTGTATCCTACCATTGCAGAACACTCCAACTAAGTATTTGGTTATTTCTCAAGATACCTACAGTGGATATGGAGTTTGTGGTGTATACCTTGCTTCACAACAAAAATGGCGTAATTTTAGTAAACTAAATTATGACGATAGAGGTGGGATGGTATAAGACAGAATGAGAGATTGTTCGGAGAAAATAAAGCTATTTCCCACTTTACTGAATTATTCAAAGATTATTATGACCTATACAATAGGCAATAGATGACAGACAAAAAGGACATCTAAACAAGTATAAACACTCAAACCTGGCATTGACATCAGGTTCAAGGCTACTCACAGTTGACATTAAATTCCAATTGAAACTAAGTATATCTCATTCAGAGTACAATGCACTCTATATACATTTCTCATTCAATAACAATTAAGATGATAATGTCAACCCATATATCAAGATTTTTATTTTTGCCAACATCCAGATTTACAACTTTTTCCTAATTTGCTAATGTTAGTAGTTATTTGCTAATGTTATTTATTCTTTTGTAAAATTTCTTATTTTTCATGGTATAAAATTTTTAATCATTATTTAAGAGAGAAAAATCATCACCATAAAATTCTTAAGTTCTCTAAGACATATTTGAGACATTCGACTGTTTTTTTTTAATTGCTGTTTTTATTCATTGTATGTATTTACTTTAACATGGATATCTATTTGGTATAAACCTTGTACTATTCATAGAGAAGGCGAAAAAGTTGACTAACAAAAAGCCAGGAAGTTTTATAAACTAAGTTTGAAGTAAATATGCTGTAAAGAAATGAAATTGTATTTAACTTTTAATAATTTTCATTCATTTATTTATTCAGTACATGTATAACATACATAATATTGTACAAAATAATAAGGAAAAAATATGACATGCCCAACTTGTTAATTATGAAAGCATAATACATTACCTGATCCTTATGATTTGTTGAGGTAGCAAGTTGTGTGAAGTGAAATGCTCAAGTAATAATACGAGGCCTTATGTAATTAAATGTAAGTGAATGACATGGACGAAAGTGGGTATTTTAATTTAGCCCATTTTTATTTCACATATTACTTAGTAATATACAATTGAAAATAACAAATTCAATCCACCATCTAGTGGACACTTGGAATTTTGATTTGTTTTATGTATTGCTTCATTGTCATGGATTGTGGGTAGGATTTTGTATCATTTTGAATACTCATTCTTACCTAGAACAGATAGATAAAGGCTTGGCTAATGCAGATAGTAACTAAAACTAAATATTTTACATGAATATTTTTGCACTCATAATTTTGCTGTGTGATATAACATCCACAGGTTTTTTCTAATCAAAACAACATAAAACAAAAATCCTTTCTTCTATTGTGTTTTATGTAGGTAGATATGAAGAAAATGTATCATTTTCATGCATATTTTTTCTGCATATTACTATTTTTACATGCATATTATTCTGCAATACGTAACAAGACAATAAGGCAATGTAAAGAAGTTTTAATACATCAGTAAGATGGAATCGTAAAGTGTAGGATTATTTAGTAGGGGATTCTATAAAATGAAAGTTGCATTCAACAAGCTTAGCTCTTCCAGTTTTTTAGGGTCTCTAAAGTTAGAAGGTGCGTTAAGTGGAGTGAAACACAGAATATTGAATTATATGTTTCCTGCTGATTTTAAGTAATTTAAAAGGATATTCTCATAGAAGTGGCTTATAACAACATATATTAGTACTATACTTGAGAATCTTAGCATTCATTTTGACTTATTTTCTACTGTTGTTAATACAAAATCTATTCATATTTAATTATTCTACACCATCCCTAATGAATTTACATGCCCATACAAATACTTATAATTGGTTTCACTGAAAGTATACAAACATTGGAATATATATTTATGCATTCTTATTTCACTAGAATTATCAAGAGCTCAGTTCTTGATTGGTTAATCAGCCAAATTTTTTGTCACACTCCAAATAGTCTCTATAGTGCATTAAGTTTATATACATTTTCACCAACTCACTATTATCAATTTTGTCAAATCATAAATCTTCAGTTGGACAGAAAAAGCATGTTTTATGAAATGATCCAGAGTACTCTCTTGCTTTTCATTACACTTTAACAATGCAATAAGTAAGCAGCCATTAAATTAATCCTTAGACAAATATATCAAATTATTATTGATTCTTTTGTGTTAACTAGACTCTCAAGTTACTTCAGCTGATTCTCTGAAGTGTATTTGTTGACTCTTCCAGAAAATAATTGCATTTTTCCAAGGTGTCCTGATCTTAACTTCAATAACATGTACCTACAATAGAAAAGATCATGAAAGCAAAGCTTTGAAAACAAGGTGGGGTTAGCCCCTACCAAGCATAATCTGTGTTGTGATATGATTTCTCTTTCATGTTTCCTGAATTTGCATTATTAGAGACTCTTTCACCATTCTTCCTGTGTTTACATGTATTTCTATAAAATTCAAATGAAAATGTTTAGGGGAGATATAAGGACTTTCGATCCATTATTCCTCTTGTATTCCAAATTTTTCCACTGTACAGTTAGACTAAGGAGCCTACATATTTGAATTCAATAACCTCAGCCTCTTAAAAAATTATCTAGTTAGTTGCTTTTAATATTATGTGATTGGCTATTTTTGTTTGTAGAAATGCCTCATGCAATATTTTATAAAAATTTTCCAAGGACATTGTCCACTAGGTTACTAAATGTCCATTATAAAAGATCTCGTTTCAGAAGCTTCTTTTAGAATTTAATGAAACCTGAGGAAAAGTGGAGTGTGTTCACCTGTTCTCATAAGGATTATGAAACTTACAGTGTTTGCTTTTGTACCTCACTGCCAGGAAGTTCACAACCAAAGTCTTTCCAACCTCCCAATTGGCTTTCTGTTGAATATATTTTGGTGCACATCTGTCCTTGGTGGCTCTGAATCTATTTGAGGAGAAAAAGTGAGATATAATTTTTTTAAGTAAATAATAGAATTATAGAAACACCAGAATATAAACCTTTCATGCTTAGGAAATTGTATGTTTTTTTGAATGGATTTGACTTATCACATCATTTGCTTCTATTTGTCTAATGAAGCCCAAAGTAAAGGGATCAGACCCTGTTTTCAATTCACAGCTCCCCTGATATCATAAACATCACAAAAGCTACAGTGACACTTGCTATTCATCTTTTAGCAAATAGAGATATTTCGATGATGAATTAAAGTGCTTCTTTAAGCTAAAAATTCTATTGGAAATATGCCCAGTCCTTCATACAAGATCATGATAAAAAACTTCATAATACCTGTGTAGCTGTTATTGTTCACGTTATTCTTTACACAACATATGGCTTTCTCTCTTTGTGACCAATTAATTTTATTGATGCAAATTAGCAAACACCTTTTGTTTGAATTCCTCACCAGCTATTTGTACCAACTCTTGCCCTCTCATAAGTTGTCATTTACCATCCCCCAGAATTCTTTCACATCCTCTAAATTCTTTATTCATAATATTTCCTTTTAATTACATTCTATGAAACCCTCATCAATAATTTTGATATCTATGCTGATCTCACAGTTCTTTCACCTTTTTATTTTATTTATTTATTTTATTATGAATATTCATGA